AAGAAAGAAAGAAAACATCTGATTTTGGAAGTGTTAATGTTATTGCACTGAATGATGTACTTAGTATATGATGCAAAGCAAGGTATGAGTCAGAAACAAAAAGGGCTTTCAGACTCACAGGCAGAAAAACCTATGATTATATAATGCTAATTAATAAAATGATATCTAAATAACCAAATGAGACAAGGCTAATAACACAATAAGATGTAACAATGGAAGAAGAAGTAATAGGGGCAGGGAAGTAGAATAAGCAATCCAAAGCTTTTCAAGCCAAATATTTACTGAATAACCTACTTAAGCCAAATATTCACTGTTTGAAAAAAAAACCTACATAAAGCCTGTGCCTCAAGAGGATATTTATATTTTATTGTAACCTTCCTATTTTCCAAAAAGTATAGGAAGAATTCAGTGCTCAGGGCTGACCTAGAATACAAGCTCCCAACAATCAACAAACACGTTACAGTATTGGACAACATTGCCATGGAGTTTTATTTTATATGCAGATGGATATAAAATAACTTCATACGTTATCAATCACTTCATATGTTACTGATAATATCATATTCTACTGACACTTGAACAGTATTTCTCAATCTTGGCAACTTTTAAGATGTGTGCACTCCCAGAATTCCCCAGCCAGCCATTGGAGTTGAAATCCACATATCTTAAAGTTACCAAGGTTGAGAAACACCGCACTAGAAGGATATTTCTTTCTAAAATATGGCTAGGATACCAAAAGGCATAGTGTGGTAAAGGAGAACATAAAATAATTTAGGGAAAACTAACAGTGATAGTTAATGGGAATACAAAGGTAGACAATGATTGTGTGCAACAGACATAGCAACCAAAACACCAGCTGATAATTGCAGATTTCTTCCAGCTGTTCTGCTGGGTGAACATGCTTCTTCATTCCAGCAAGATCATTTTGCTTAAGCTATCATATCAACCAGCACTCCAAGGAGAATGCTCCTTTGTCAGGACTGGAAGAGCTGTTGCTCACATTCAGCAGCCCTAGTCCTGAGGTCGTAAGAAAATATTTTGCATGACTAGGAAGGATTATCATGCCCCTGACATTACTAAACATCTTTCTATGGGCATTGCATCGAAGTGCCAAACTCCAAGGAGAGTATGTCTAGATCTTGCAATGCGTTCTCAGTATTTTCAGGCTGGTAGTCCATTTTAAGGGATTTTTTTAACCTGGTTTGATTTGGAGGTTGGCAAGATAGGGTATGTAAGCAAAAGGATCCATGGATCATCCAGATTATATTAAAAAATATTTTTAATTACTCTTTTAGCATTTCATGACATGTCTATGTTTCTATGTGATATAATAGAAGTGAGATCATTAAAACATTTGAAATTGCACACATTTTCAGGCAACTGTTAAACAGTAGTTATGTGTGCAGGTTGCACAGGATGTCACATTCTATAGAAAGAGCTGCTGAACCCTGTTATAAACTGTGTATATTCAAAATGCACAGAGCCTCATAATTGCAGAAGAGGAGAAAGTTTTCATAGACAACAGATGCAATCCATTCCCTTGACACATCATTACCAATCAACTAACCAGAAATTCAGATGCTTACCATTATGTGACATTCCAACTGCAAGACACTTTTGGAATCGGCAATATTGACATTTATTTCTACTTTTTTTATGAATGCGGCAGTTGAGATCACATCGATCATAGATTAATTTTAAACGGATTGTTCTGCGAAAGAAACCCTTCAATAAAAATAAAGGAACACAAAATATATTAGCCTCACGGAATTTCCCACCATATCAGATTTAATTTGAAAGACGTGTATTTTTGGCTTGAAATATTTTCATTTTATTGTGGATTGATCACAATCTGTAATATTTTTTTAAATCTGATTTCTCAGTATTCATTCAGAACAAAGCAATATGGTGTGTGTGTGTGCTTTAAATGTTGCATTAATATAAAAGGAACTCTTTTTAATTCCAGTGGAATTTACTTTATGGCAAGTTCATTGTAGCTTAGTTAAAATATCTATAAGAGTTAAGTATACCAAATAGAGTATTTGTGTGTGCATGCATATGGAATAATTTTCTACCTTCTTATTTATAATTCTGCAAAAAATACTTAATAAATTGTATTAAATGATCATTTCTGGGAAAGTAATGTGATTGTTTACAAGATAAGCGTTTTTAATAAATTGCTTGATGTGACAAAATGTTAAGATTGAACATGCTTTGGGGGAGTCTACAATGACAAAGCTCAAAGAGTTGTATTTATTTCACAAGCTTGGATGGAGTGCATCAGAAACATTTTCTTACTTTGTCTTACTTCCTGTTTGAAATATATTTGTCTTGTTAGAATATTCCACTTCAGCTTTTATCTGCCCCTTAGTATACCCTGACAGAGCAAGCACATTTACCAATTTAGCTTTTTTCTAACAATTCTAAAAATGTGATTTAACAACAGAAAGTTAGCTAAAAATGTGATTTAACAACAGAAAGTTAGCTTTCTAACAATTCTAAAAATGTGATTTAAATCACATTCTTAGAATTGTTACAAAAAAACTCAATGTGCTTGCTCTCTCAGGGTATACTAAGGGGCAGATAAAAGCTGAAGTGCAATATCCCAACAAGACAAATATAAAACAAAACATACTTTAGAAAAGTAAGTTCCTTATTGTCATTTGACTGTTACTTAAAACAGACAAGGACATTTTTAGTTAAAACTAACTCAGATGATGTTTTCGATTCTATTAATACAAAATAACGAGGACCAGCATGTTCTAACATATATTAGAAAAGAAATAAACTAGAAGTATATGACCCTCCTGAATTTTGTGAATTCAAAATTCTTATCTTTTACTATTGATATTACAGTAAAAGCTGATAGAATTTTAAAGAGATAATAAAACATTTTTTTTGAACGAATCATGCATTACTACAATTACCTACCTTGCAACCTTCACATGCATGTACTCCATAATGGAACCCAGAAGCTTTGTCCCCACACACCCTGCATTCAATAGCCATGAGAGAACTAGAGGCTTCTTCATGAGGCTTACTATACATCTGAAGTTTTTCTGAGAAATATGGTGGAGACGGAGGTTCTACTTTAATTGCATCTGAATAAGAGGAAGATTTCAAAAGAAGAATTAACCAAATGCCTGATTATTACCAATTACCTCTACTTAGTATTATCAATCTGAATGCATTCAAGATTCAAATGTTTTTAAAAATATACAAGAGTTAGATATACATAGTTACTGAAGTCAGCGAATGGGAGTCTGAATTATTACCTAACCGTGCTTAATAGATATCTCAGGTATGAAGTCCCGAAAGACCTTAAACAATTCACTGACCATACTGTAACCTAATTCTCATGAATGAGCTTTAACCCCCACCCCCACCCCCATCCTTCCTTTAGTTTTCCCCAAATGTATTCTGAGTCCATTTTATATTTCTTCGTGTATCATATGCAGGACTTGTTTTATGCCACTCTAGTGTAAAAAGCCAAAGTAAAACATCGGTGGCCACAAATTACTATATATTACATTTCTAAAGCAGAATTTGAAATCCAATTCAAAACATAGTTTCAACTATAATAAACACAATATTTTCATTTTTTTAAAATAATTTTTGTGAAGCAAACACTAAAAAGGCCAATGTCCAGGGAAAGGAGCTACAAGTTGTGATTTGTCCATATATCTTGCTGATACTTCTCATGCTAGCTCCCTATCCTACAACACGGGAATAATATCCTTTAGAATTTCTATATACTATGAATATACTATATACTATATATACTATGAAACTATGAATAGGACTTTTCAAAATGAATAATTACATCTCTATAACTGCTACATGTTGCTATAGAAAGTGCCATGAAATAATTGTCTAGCATGATAAACATATTGGCCTCAATTAAACATCTTATACATGCCTCAGTTCATAAAATCAAGCATGGTTTTGGCTGATTTGTAACACTCAACATGCTCCCTTTGGAACCTGGGCTTTCAAAAGGAGCATGCCATTAAGCTGTTGATTTTCCAAGCCATTATGCCTCCAAATTCTGGTCATATTAAATATTAAGTGGCATCTAATACTTTGCAAAGGCAAGACTGTGTTGCCGCAGATATTAGCATGCACCACTAACTGATTCTTTTCTAAAAGTTGTGCTCAGAGTAAAAAAACAAAACCTATGGTTATACAACCATGAAGTTGAAAGCAGGCTGTCAGTTCTCCCAATCCTGCTTCATATATTACACAGATTTGTTACATGATCTTTGTTTTAGTGTACATTATTTCCAAGAATGAAAAGTATTTGTTGTATTGTTTATATTTTTATTCCACTGATTTTGAAACTAACCAGTAAACCGTAAAAGATAAAAAAGACTTATAAATCTAATGCTGCTTCTTAGTGTATCTTTCAACAGGCAGTAGTTTCCCGTGAATTCTATACTGACAGATCTATACTGTCAGATCTTTTATATTTCATCTTCTCTCTTGCCAGAATTGAAACCACTTCAGACATTTAGAGAGGCTCTGCTGATGATAGCACTACCTCCATTTGAAATATGTGGGTGACAGGCTTTGTGGCAGCTCCCACGGTTTGGAACATACGCCTCATCAGAGATAAACATGGCAATTACCTTGTTAGCATTTCCCAAAACAACTAAGATGCTCTTTTGGGCTGAAGTTTCAGGAGGCTACAACCACAGTTGATTAAAGGATGGTGGCTACCATAGGTATAGATTAAAGATTTGTACTCTTGATTCTGATTTTTGTTATTTGTGTCCCATCCACACTATTCCGATTGGGGTGGGATATGAATATTGTGAACATATCTTAGCTAAGATTACCAACCTATGAACTAGTATTTATTTGTTTGTTTGTTTGCTTAATGTATTTTCTGCCCACCTTGCAAGGGGCTACTCTGGGTGGTTTACAACAGTAAAAAGAGAGCAATGAGAGTAAAAATAACAGCATCAAAATAGTGAAATGATAAAATTAAACAATGGAATAAACAATGAAGGTATAGTAATATGAGATTAAAAATGGGTATGGAGACTCAAGGACCACAGAAGAGCTGGCTTTATCTTTGATATACTTTACAGGTCACTTAAATGTACATCATTTTAGAATCATAAAATTCATTTCCCAAACTTTTAAATTGATTAAGTGTACACAGAATGATAGTTCTATTCTTTTTTTATTGCAAAGGCCAAGCAACAGGTTGTTTTATTTAAGGAAATAACTATAATCTTAAAATATGATTGATTGTACCAAAGAATCTTTTTTGAAGGTCCTAATGGCCTACAAATTCATGTTGTTGCTATAACATAGCAAAAAACCAGGAATTCATATTGTATAAATTATCAACCCCCTATCAATCAATCAGGGGCCTTTTACCACAGAAGAATGTATATTTATCTGTATCCCAGATTGTATAAAGCAAGATTTTTCAAATTGTGTTCAGTTGATGGAGTTTTGTAAGAGACTTATGGAGCTTTGCCTCCTGATCAGGGGTCTTGGGAATTTTTTTTTTTTAAACTAACAGGTTTCACAACCTGAAAACCTGAAAACCCCTGATTTAAAGCTGTTCACCAGTTAATTTATAAGCTATGGTGTTTGAACACTCTTCTAATATCTACAATTATCAAGCCATAAAAAGTTTACATACTTTGACAATCTTGAAATTTCACATCATATTTATAGTCAAGGGCTATCTGGTCAGTTCTTGCAAGAGGGAGATCCTCATAATGTGGCGAAGAAAGGCTGGAAAAATCAACGGTGCTGAAGGGCTTTATGTCAAATGCATGGGCATGTTCATCCATTGTAGAAAGATCAACTGGGCTAATACCAAAGCTCATGGGCCAGAACGGCATTTCGGTATCAACCATTGTAAAGCCTGAAATAAAAAAGAAACAGAGAAAAAAAGTGAGACTCAGTATTTATAAAATAAAAATTTACATTACTACAATTACATTTACATCCGGAAAAAATAATGAACAGAGTCACAAATACTCAGAAGTGCTGGTCTGACACAGTTCTGTCAAGATTTTAAAAACAAACACATACTAATAATGTGTGAATGGTTGCAGATCTTTTATTTTTTAGTGATGTTATTTTTTAATTAATATCAGGAGTGGTATTTTGGATTTTTTTTTCCTTTGAGGGAAAGGAATCCAATAAATCTAGGGAGGAGATGAATAATCAGCAAATACTTAAGGTACCAGGAAGTTTATTACCATTAGTATGGCAAAATTAATTTTAGTGGGAATTGTGTGGGAGAGTTTCCTGTAGATTACATTCAATGTGGATATTACTTAATTGTTTATTTGAAAGTTACACTGACCTGGAAAACCATCCCCTAAAATGACGTGCAATTATGGCTGATTGTGGATGTACACTTTACATATGTTCAGAAGCCTTCAAATATTACTTAAATTAACTCTTCTACAAATGCATTATTACTGTTGTCACTCTATAAACCATGATCCTTTTGATCTTTGTCACTCGATAAAAAATGATTCCTTTGACCTTTGCTTGAGATCCCCAATGATGCTTTTGCAGTTTTTTTTAAAAAACCTATAGACTAGGTTTCAAAAGTAGAAACATCATCATAGAAGGTGGCCATGGCTTACCAATTCTGTATAGTTACCAAGAAAACTACATAGATGTCCCAGATACTTACTAGGAGGTGACTTGTTATTGCAAGATTTAAATCATTTTGCTCAGCAGAATTAAATAGGGCCCATAGTACATAGTACAATTGTTCTTTCATAAAGAATTACTTTTTCAGACAGAATGCTGCCTACAACTGTAAAGAGTCAACTTTGGACTTCATTACAAATGAACAGACTCCATAAAAGCAGTAACAATCACTAAATTTTTGTATTTGCCTTGCACTGGAAATCCAGTAACTGTTCCCCAAGTCTGGAATGGTAAAATACTCATATCTAAATTAGGATCAGACTAGATCTTATTAATAACCCTAAAAAATAAGAAAACACACACTGTATATCCTATTTGTAAAAAGGGAAGACAAAGGAAGGAAAGCAATTCCTTTCCAAGGCCACAAGTGAACACTTACTTTTAGGCATATATAATACAGTTTTGAAGTAGGCAACTGCTTAATTCGTACCAGAGATATATGATATGATACACATACACACACATACATATAGACTAGAACTATAAGCCATAGCGATATATATACATGCCTACACATAAACATAGAAAGCTGACTGTATTTGATTTGATATTTGATTTGAAACTTGGAATGCTAGCGTGCATGGACTTTACACCTTTATGTAATAAAAATTGGTTTGGCTCTGTTTACTTTGAACCAGCCAGTACTACCCTGCCTTCTGTCCTAAAAATGGTTTTTAAAATAGCAGCAATGGTCTATCGACTATAATCACATTAGACTCGGGAGGAGAGGCTTTTGTCAACGTTTAACTTCCTCAGTGACATATGCAAACATATCAGTGGCCCTGGGTGTCCCAGCTCTGGTAAAAGATGTACCCTGTGACCTGGGTGAGTCTGGGCATGCAATCCTCAGCACACTTCTTTGGCAATCCCCCCCCCGTCCTCCTCCATCAGTATTTTCCACTGAGCAAATAATTTTCTTAGCAGGGTGGAAAAGTCCTTTTAAAAAAGTGATTTCAATATTCTCAACTGAAAAACAATTGAAATTTCCACTGATACAGATATCATATAATGAAGTGTGTGTGTGTGTGTGTGTGTGTGTGTGTGTGTGTGTATGAGAAAATCAGAGGAATACATGGGCAGTCAGTCACTCTCTCTCAGCCCCACCTACTTCTGGGGTTGTTGAGGTCTAGGACAACTTGCTCTGGCCAACTTGTCCTGGCTCTCTCGCCCTGGCAGACTCGCCACAAAACAGCTTGCTAAGGGACAATTCAACACAGGATAATTCAAGAGTCAATTGCAACGGGCCTTGTCTTGCTTTAGATTTGAACTTTCTCAAGTTAGAAGCAGGGGTGGGTTGCTGGGAGTTTGCAGGGGTTCGAGAGAGCCTCTAGCTAAGATTCTGTGCAGTTTGGAGAACCCCCAAATCCCACTCCTGGCTGGCCCCGCCCATCCTACCCATCCCCTCCCACGCAGCCTGTTTTGGATACAGGTAAGTGCAGGGTGTGTGCAGAAGCTCAGAGAGGTGAAAAACACCCACCCCCCCGGAAGTTCCAGAAGTCTGGAAATGGGTCCGTTTCTGGCTTCCAGAGAGCCTCTGGTTTTGGAAATGGGTAAAGAGGAAAAAAGGAAGAGTTCTAGCAGAATGGATGGAACTAAAAATAATAAAAGTGATGAAATGATTTGGAATGAACCTGAAATGAAGGGATGGTAGACAGTGTGCATTAGAGATTTTACAAGAATTATAGTGATTGAAGGGTAGAATGAATGTGAATATTAGTGTTCAAGAAAATTAGATGAGAATGCGTTTGAGAATGTTAGAAAATTCCAAGGTTGCAAAACATATTGAATGGTGCTGATATTAGCTGTGTTTCCTTTTCTCATCTCATACCTTAATTCCTTTGGTTTATGATTTCTTACTCCTTATCTGTGCTATATATAATGTTGCTTATCCCAGAAAAGAAGAATACAATTAATATGTAAGAATTTATGTATGGATTTACCAGCTGCTGCAATTGTTTGAGACTGTAAACCTTCCTGTTGTGTTAAAAAAATATTAATGAGATCAAACTATCCCCCCAGCAACTGTCTCCCAATTATAGTGGATTGATATATTTATTCATTTATCACATTTATATGGCCACTCATCTCATGGAAAGTGACTCTGGGTGACATACAATAATTCAATGATGCATTATTCATGATCTTAAGGCACAACTTGTCTTGCTTAGGTTTGGCTTGACAGGATAAACAAAGTCATATGTTGTGATTTATTAACCATGTTTTATAGTTTAGGATTGTGTAACCCAGACCACCATGCCTTATTCAAAAACAAACCACAGTTTGCAGTGTCTGAATCCAGCCTGATAAAAAACCCTTTAATTCTCCTCTCTTCCAATATACTGAAACTGCATCAGAACTGATCTTGGCACAACCCAAGAAGCAGGCAAATGTTTTTTAGAATGCTATGTCAAAATCTCCACAGTTCTTTTTCCACACAGAGAAAGATAGGATTAAATAGCTATTTGCCTATGGTTTTGCATCAGTAAGAGAACTAGCTAAAGTTGGTGCCATAAGTATATGGCGCCAACTTTACAGCTCTTCAAAACCTTGACCAGAACAAAAAAGAGTTAGTGTTTAAAGTGCCACCTAGAACTTTAGGCTTAATGCTTTCTCAGATTATAATGTGAAAACTAAGAATTGTCTATGATGAAAATACAGTAAGCATGCCCTCTTTGACACATTTTGGGGAAACTGGTAAGAGAATTTTCTCCTTGATATTTTCTGAGTAAACTGTTTCAGTTTTACATTTTCTAAGTATTTCAGACTGAAGAAATAATCTTTTTTAAAAACAAAAACAAAAACTGTACCGAAAAAACAATATTCCTATCTTTTCCATTCCTCTGGTTTATTTTGTCTGTAATATTCGCTAGTCTACATGAAAGGCACTGTGGAGACATTTAACACTTTTTCAGAAATAAAATTTACTAATTGTTGCTAGAAGAGGAAAATATTGTTGGAATTTGTTATATAAAAGTGTTGTTCTATGGAATAATTAAACACAAGAATAAGAGATGACTTTTTGGGTCTATGATATCTGTGGCTTTTAAAATAAATTATGCATAATACTATGGGTAAATGTGGTGCCCTCTAAGTCTGACATAAGGTGATCCAGTATCCTTTGACAATAAAAAAAGAAAGAAAAGAATAAAGCAAAGCTTTATCATGATTAGCAGTCACTTCACTACCATATAAATATGTTGATAAAGTAATAACCACACTCCCCCAAATTAGCCATGCAACGAATGTATGCGTGTACAAATCATTTCAAATGTAAATTGTTCCATTTTGAATTTGAAATAATTTCTCTAACTTCAGAAGTATCTGGATCTTGAAAGAAGCTTTTTTGAACTTCAAACACCTTTAAAAGGACTGAAGTAGCACAAAAAAACTGCTTGAAACATAAAACGATTGCTTCACGCTGGGAAAACAAAGCTGTTTCTAACTGAAAACTAGGCATTTCTAATTCAAAATTTGCTTCTCTCCATTCATAGGAAAGACCAGAATTTACAGTGATAGATGGAATAGGCAAAAGACAGTGTCCTGATGAGATTCCCATCTCTGTTGAGTTCCTAAGCTTATAGTTTATGCTTTTCCATTCCACAGTCCCATTCTCAGCTTAAGTGAAAAGGAAATGGGTAAGTAGATCCCAAAGATTCCCCAGGAGACTTTAACTCAATTGCAGTACCTTTTATTCCACACTGTCACTGTTAATTAAAATATGCTCAGTGCAAATGAATTGGTATGGTACCCATGGGAGGAAACGAGTTTCATTTATTCTTTTTTACTTTCAAGGAATAGAGAAAGGGCAATGAACAGGACAGAACTGTGCATTGCTAGTCACATAAGGGGAACACAGGATATGATAAAAACAAAAACAAAAAAACTGCAGACGGGTCTCCAGTGCACTCTTGAAAGTGACCATGGGGCTGGGTAAGGCAAGCCTATCCTATTGGCCACACACACTTCCACATTGTCTTGTTTTCACTTCTGCAGCCCTCAGAAAAAAATCAGGTTATTAGTTGCTTTACAAAATGCTGAGGGCAAAGAATAAAAATTACTGTCTCTATTGCCAAAGATGATGCAGACCCACAAGACTGCCACAACAACATCATTTTCATTCCATGTTAAAGAGGAACTCAACTAACAATTTAAGATTGGTGCTTTGTATGGCAGTTCCTAGCTAACATTAGTCAA